CAGCAAAAGTCAGAGGAAATCCATGACGATGTTTATGTGAAGCGTAGTTTGGATCGTCTTTTGCTGCTGGTTCAGTCAGTATTGTTCGGAGAGAGATGAAACCTGCAGCTTCAGAATCGAGCGCAAAAAGGGCGTAAACACAAAACGAGCTGCCGACGCTTCAAAATCAGCGAGCTGTCGGCTTTCAGCCCCGACGACATGTCCATGTTCGTGCCGTCGGGGGAGAAAGGCGACAGCTCACTGATTCTGATGCGTTGGCGGCTTCGCGTTTTGTGTTTATGTCTTTGAGCAGAATCCGTGTTCCTGCTCTCATTTACTCTTTTAGCTGTTTGGTGGTTGTAGAAATTTTGTGAGGTTCAACCTGAGATTATTTAAAAATCGATTCAGGATTTTAATGAATCGATATCACGTTATCCAAGCTAGAATCGATTTTAATCGATAAATCGATCATCAAAACCCAGCCCTGATGATGATGTTTAGATTTTACTTCTTACCCAAAGATTTAGAACAGTCACAGTGGTGCACTAGCTTCTTTTTGTCTTCTTTTTTCGAATCCAGTCCATGCTAGCTTTGTCAGAAAGTCGTGTTCGATTGTTCTTTCTAAAAAACAACAACAAAGAGGTTCAGGTACGTTTGAATTAGGAGGGCCAACCAACACGTGAGGGACGTACTTGCATTGTACAATCATGTCAACATCTTTTAAAAGATCGGGAAGGATTGTGAACGTTCAGCACAGAGAAGTTTTGCTCTCTGCTTCCCTAAACCCAAAGTCTTTGCAAACAGAGATCAGACTGTAAATCGCTCGCTCTGTAGCACAGTTGGGCCTTTAAGTCTCATTATTTCACAGTTTTTGATGAGACTGGTCCACATTACCAAGGAATGCTTTATTTTTTGCATATATATTTGTTTTGAGACTGAAAGGGTTGAGGACATAAAAAGAAAAATCAGGCAAGACTTTACACCATCTGCAGATATCCATCCACTCCATAATTACAGTAAGATGTCATTTTTAGGACATTTATTTACAGCACTTGTCCCTGCTAAGAAAATATCTGCTTACACGACCAACAAATGTTGAGATTTTTTCTTTCTAACTGTCAGTTTTCTTTAGGTGTTTTTTTCATTTTCACTCATTTCACCAACATCCTGTAAAGTTTGGTTCCTATAGAAAAATGTAACGAGAGCGTCAGACTAGCTCGCCACGCTGACTAAACTGTTTGCAGCAGGTTCGCCCATAATATGCTGAATATAAGTTAGTAGGCTCAATACTCCCAACATTAAGGTTTTTCAGTTGGATGTTGGATTAAGAGATTAAGTCGACGTGTTTCTACCTAAACCAATCTAGCAATGACTGAAACACAGAAAATATCACAACAAGGAAGGATCGCAAAATAGCAAACAGGAGAAAGAAATGAGCTGAACATTCATGTGTTTGGAGTCCACTCATGCCAAGAGGGAGTGTAATGTGTTGCCCTGCTGATGTTGGGCTTCAGCTCATGTGTTGATGAAGCACACGGCCTCAGTGCGTGGGTTGGTGTTTCTGACACTGTCCTTTGCTCTCAGATGGCTCTCAGCGCTCAGCTTCTTTGCCCAGTAAATCCTCCAAGCGTGGTAAGGCCCAGAGCGTCCGGGAACTCCCGGCAAACCACCTTAACTCTGGCTTTTAACACACTGGCAACGTCCTGGAGGCCCTTTCACCAACACACTCTGTCTGCACTAACACGTGTGTCTGGGAGCGTGTGAGCTGCAAATAAAATATAATTCATCGTAACAAGTCATTTTAATGGAAAGAAATGGAGTATTTCCAATGAAGAGTAGAAAGTGCTTTGGGGTTTTTTACAACAAGAAACTGAATCCACAGGAAGGCTTCTTAGAGGCACCTCTTTATTTTTCCAGTTGTTTATTCTGAGACAAACATTAGTGTTGATGAGGGCTTTTGAAATTTGGTCTCTTTAAAAAAAATATGCCCAGAATGTGCGCAACTCAGTGACTTCCTTTAATCAAACAAAACCAATGTGATGCATCAACATACTGAGCCAATTTCTGACCCAAGCTCCACCAGTGTCAGTAACAGAGGCATGTTTAAGTTTTATTGGATTTTAATAATGCTCTTTGAATAGGAACATTTTTTTTAAATGTAATTAACTAATATTTCTTATGGCTCATTTTAGCTAGTCAGTTTTAGCTTTTCAGCTAGGACTAAGCGAGTCTGGGCGCAGGTTTATCTCAGTGGGTGAGCAGGCGACCGTGTGGCCGGAGATCCTGAGCTCGAGTCCGATCCGCTGCATGTCTTCTTCCCTCTCTCCCGGTTTTCCTGTCTGTCTTCACTGTCCGAATCCAATAAAGGCCAAAAAAATCATCGTAAAAAGAGGATTAAGCAAGGTATAGAAATTATTTCTAAAAATTAGATTCAAATTCTTTCAGTTTGTGCCAGAAAGATAATGCTCATGTAGCCGCTTATTCACATTTGTTCCTGAGTCTTTCTTTTTTAAATTTTCTTTAATTTGATGAATATATCATTCTGAAACAAAAAATATAATTTTTGTTGAGTGATGAAAGTCATGAACAATAAGAAAACAACGTATGATATGACAGCAGTGTGTTAAAAAGTAGTGCTGTCAGCGTTAATCTCATTAAAATGACGTTAACGCATTAACGCGTTACGTTAGCGAGTTAGTGCGTGGAGCTGCACGACATCAAGGCGTTAGCGCAGTCAGCTCGTTAATGCGATAGCCCCGTGCAGCCCCACACACGGGGCGATCCACGCTAACGTAGATTTGCCGTGTTAATGCGGTTTTGGCATTAACGCCATTTTAATGAGATTAACGCTGACAGCACTATTAAAAAGGTTTTCACCTGACAAATCTAAAAGGGCCTAATTATTAGTGTTTAACAACTTTTTTTTATTGATGGACAATGAAAATAATTTGTTCAAAAGCCACACAGACTGACCATTAAGCTTTCTAAACACAGAGACATCCAGTTTATGATTTCATAAGGACGATGATGGAAGGCAGTGAATTCTCCAGTCTGAGGGGCAATGGGCATCTTTCTTTATGTAAAAGATTATTTTAAACGTCGTGGGGCCCACTAATTGGCCACTTGGTCAAAGTTACTGGGCTATGTAGTGTCAGTGATGTTTCCACGGTAGTTTTGGCTGAGTTAGGGAACACAATGACTTGATACGATGACTATATTTCTGTGTGTTTGGGGTTGGAGGTTGGCATTGGGGCTTTACTAGCCTTATTAAGCCTTTGCATGATAATGCTTGATACCAGGTTGTTCACCCCTCCTCTATAACTTTCCATATTTAACCTCACTTGAACAAAAGATCAGACACAAATGGAACACATGTGTGCGTGTTGTCAGAGGGGGACGATGGTAAGTTCTCAGGACACGCCTTCACTCTTCATGCACATTCAAAACCAACACCAACAGATGCTCACTGAAGGATGTACCGTTTTAAACTAACCCTGTGATGTGTATTAATGTGTGCACCGTGCTGTATTGTTGCATGTTTTATTCATTCATTGCTGTTTAAAAGCACTGATCAAAAGACTTATCAAATGTTGTTGTGATGGATGTTGGTATAATGGGGAGTTAACTGGAGCTTTGGAAGACATTTGCACTGACATGGTTTACCGCCCTTTATTTCACTGCTTAATGCAAAAGTAACACAATAAAAAAACAATGGTTAGAGACTGCAGCACGGTTATCATGATTATTGTGATTGTGTGCAATGAACTCATTGTTGCCACTTCTGCATCCATTCATAGCCAGATTAATAAACTGGTAAAGATCTGTTGCCCTTCTAAATAGACAGAAATGTATACTAACTGATTAGAGTCCAGCCAGAACCTCAGAGATCTAAACAGAAATTCCTGATGTAGTTGCTGCAGGACAGCGATTTAACTGCAGAATGACAAAGTCACTCAGCAACCTTGTCTTCATATAGAAATATAACCAGGATGCAAACAGCTGAGTCATGTCTGACGAGATGCTTCTAAGAGAAGCTGCAGTCATTGGCACAAACCAAAGCTGATTGATTGTAATTTGCTTTTGTTAAATTAGGGGACAGTTTGCAGACCTTCCCTCACCAGCTGTCCTGTGTAAACACTGTGCTTGTTTCAGCTGCAGTCAGTCACCAAATGTGAAAAAAATCAATGTAGGGAAAACCACCAATTTTTTTTAATCTCCTCTATTCACAAGGAGGATGCTGTCCTATTTTTACTCTGTTGCAGGGAAGATGTGGAAGACTAAGAGTGCTCTTAGAGTCTGTATCTCTAGAGTCTGCTGAGAATCGGGACATTTTTTTATTTTTCACTGTCACAATAAACCAGTTATTTGATCATCTACAGTACAGACGGTGGCTTTTATTAAATAACACGTTAATGCTGCATTAACAAAATTAGAAACTAATGCAGGCTCAAAGCCTGTTACGACAGGCTGACTAAGCTTTTTTATCAAAAACATTTTATTAGACATAGCCACTGCGATCTCGCCCTTCGGTTTGTCGACATACGTTCTTGAGCCGTTTGTGCTGTGAAGTCATATTTTTTAATGTTTGTGGGGAAACACTTTTGGACTCAAATGGCTAAAATTATCATCTGTTGAGGGTGGCAGTCTATGTGTTGGTGGTTTATGAAAATGTAATTGAACGCTGTTTAAAGAGCACAAATTATACCATTTGGAATCATTCTTGTGTACAGCAGTGAAGCAAAAAAGTGAACTTTTAAGCCATATGTTCCTATTGGTTTTTCCCTTACAGCTTCATAGTTGTACTATGGTTTTACAGGAAACACTGAGTCCTGGGTTTTTAGTCATTTATTTTTTTTAACAATGACTTCAATTTACTCATCCCTCTAAAAACCCCGTAAGAAATGTCCCTCTAAGCTAGCTGTTGAAACCAAAAGCTGAACCCAGGTATCCGTCAGGTCATGATAAACTTCCAGTTTAAAAGCTCTTCCCTCTGCGGTGTCAGCTGAGATTTGGTGGCGCGGTTCTGATGGTAAGATTCGAAATGTCTTCCAGTGCTCCTGTTGGTTCTCCATGTTGCAGGGAAACTGAGACTCAGAGACCAAAGAAACCTCTCGCAGTAAAAGTGATGGAAGTCCTGATACAACCAGTGTCGTTTTGGTGCCACCTCTTCTTCGTCTGGCCTAAAAACAAAAGCTCTGACTTCAGTTGTCTCGGTCGTAAGAGTCTCCTTTCCTAGCTCCACTCCTCTCATTCCTCCATCACGTCCTCTTCCTCTCCTCATGTTAACCCCATTGCTCATTTGTTGTTTGTTCTCTCTCTCTCTCTCTCTCTCTCTTTTTTCTTTTCTTCCCGTCTGTGTAGGCAGCCCGTTGAGTAACTTCTTTGACGTAATTAAACAGCTTTTTTCAGACGAGAAGAACATCCAAGCGTCCCACTCCCCCGGCGCCACGCCTAGCTCCCCCACCAAGCATACCCCCAGCAGCAAGCCCAACCAGCCCCCACCTAATGACTCTAAATGCCCCCCTGGCAAAGACAAAACAAAGATGGCTGCCAGCAGCAGGACACAGGAACAACCTTAAGGAGCCGTAGCTGTGCATGACTAGATGAAAGCAGTAATCAGGTCATTAAATAAGAGAAATTAGGAGAGCTGCTAACTTTGCCCTTTAGTTAAGAATAAAACAAGAAGATCTACTTTTTGCCTATAAATTTTGTACTTAATAATGGGAATGGCTATTTCAGTTTAAAAGTCGATCAGTATTTTACAATAAGTAGCAGATGTAGCTTCGTCGTCCCTACCTTGTGTCCCTCTGTGTCCTCCTCACATGTGTGATGGCTTGACTTGTCTCTGCCACCAGGGATCATCCATAATAACTATTAACCTTGGCGAGACGGCTGACAGCGGCCTGCTGGGCCTGCCAGCACCAGGAGAGTTTGAAACTGGAAAAGACTGAGGACCACTTCCCTAGCCCACTTGAATCCACTCCCCCCGCCCTATATCTTTGAGTCTCTTCCTGCTGCCGCATCAGTAGAGTACACTTCACCCCGCCAGACCAAACACAGACACGTCTTGGAAGACTTGTAAAAAGAAAAAGAAAAAAAGCCTTAAGACAGTGACGTTTGTCAGTCTGCACACATGTATACCCTCTCCCTCTTTCTTCCATTTCTCCTACATGTACATAAAAAAATGCACCCACACATACACCTCGGCATAAACAACCTGTTCGCGTGATGAACTTGAAATCGAGATGGGATGCAGGAGCGATGGAAGAAAGCAAAGGTGGACGGATGGATCAACAAACACTGGCTGGATTGTAATTCTTTTTAAAATCATATTTCTTTGTGAGCAGCAGGTTCTTTTAGCTCGCTCTGTGGTGTTTCTGTACATGGGTTCTTGCAATTAAAGACTGCCCATAAAAGTATGATAAAGAGGGTTGGCGGTGGTAATATTATATAAATGAATGATCTATTCTGTTGTACAGACTAAACTATGTCCCTGCTTAGTGTCAAAAAGTGTAGTAGTGGCATTATGTTTTAGAGTTTTTGCCATATTTTCTTTTGTATTCACGAACAGGCACGGCCACACCAGCATTTGAAATGTTTCATTGTAACAGTAGATGGTGCTCACATACAGGAAGAGACCTGCAACAGAGGTCGTGGGGAGTCAAGAAATAATGCAACTGCTAGCGATAACGGCAAAACAACCTTTGTTAATGTGAGGTACACGAATAGTAATCTAAATGAGCTAGTTAGCTAGCTGCAGACTTGCTAGCTAAACTTAGTTTCTCACTTCAGACGGAAGAGCCCATTACGGTAAAAAATAGAAAATGCTCAAAAAGCCATCTTGGATTTAGCGCTAGCAAGTTCTTGCTAGCTAGCGCGTTGACCGTTAACATTGCCCAGGAAATTTTGCTGGTGTGACCAGGCCTTTTTGCTTAGTCGTCTCCTTTTTATTTTGCACTTTGAACATTTGTCTTGAGTTACACCATTTCAGTATGTTTTAAATTTTCTCTTTTATTCCCCAAGTTCTTTTAGATTATCTGCAGGTTTCAGACAATATTGAACTGCTGTGTATATTTTTGTACTTTACTGTATTTTGTCATTTTTTTATTTAATTTATTATTGTTTATTTATATGAAAGATGTAGAGAATGTTTCTTAATGTCAGATTATTTAAGGATATTTTTGTCATGTTTAATTTATTTGACCACTGAGAAATGAAAACATTTGTGTGTGTTTGTTGCTTTCCCTGGTTTTTGATGCAAGAAACCTTGTAATATATGTTTGGGAAAATAATTTACTGTAATTTAAGAATGTAGTTTTAGCCTCTTTGAGAGGAACAAACCCTTTGTTGATAACTGTCCTTTTCCCCATGCCCCGTGCGCATATGACGGCTCAGAACTCACCAAACACTCATTCTGTAAATAAGCCGAGTTTACTGGCAAGCTTATTTAAAAAAGAAAAGAAAAAAACCATAAAAAAACAAGGGGATCCCTATTCTTAGCTTTGACCTTGTATGGTTGTTTGCATGTTCAGCATTTGTCTTTTCTTTGCATGTTGTCGTTGGAATTGTTCTCCTCTTCCCCTTTTCTCTACACGTTTCAGTTCTTTATGTGCATTCATTTGAATTTGCTTTTTTGTTTTTTTACATTTTCATTTAATTTGCTGTCCTTTCTCTTTTTTGATTACTGTGTGCACACAGTAACCGTGCAATGCATTCTCCTTACTCATTCTCTCAAAGAGGGACCTTGCTGGCAATTGGGTCACTCACTCAGCCCATCTGGGTGTGTGTTGAGTTGTCAGAAAGAAAAATTAAAGCAATACCTTTCATCATTCGCTTTCCTCTTTTTCTACTGTGGGAATCCAGAGCACACAGAATGGACTCTTCGGTACTGAGCGCTACTACTGAGCAGGATAACCATTTGCAATGTATTCCCTTGTGATGTTACTGTGAACAACTTCAGTGCTAAAGGAAATAAATCTGTTGACTTTGGAGTAGTATTTGTGTTGCGCCTTTTTTTATTTTATTTATTAGGTTTATTCGTGTAAAGAAGTAAATCTTATATGTTCAGAGTTCCAGTAGTGAAAAATGCACAATTTCTGTTCAAATCTTGGCCTTTCAGACTTTCTGCTGCTCTAATAACTGGTCCAACATGGCCGGTGTCCTGCAGGTTTTAGATCTCACCCTGCGTCAACACGCCTGAATCACATGATTAGTTCATTACCAGGCCTCTGGAGAACATCAGGACATGTTGAGGTCATTTAGCCATTTAAATCAGCTATGTTGGATCACGGACACATCTAAACCTGCAGGACACCAGCCCTCGAGGCCTGGAGTTGCCCACCCCTGATCTAGACCAAGATGGCTTGAATGAACCTTTACATTGTCTTTGTTACATTACTACTTTGATGGTCCCTCATTCTTCCAAAACATACTTTGGTGTTTTGATGATAACCCTGGAAAAATCTGTGTGACCCGTTGGTTCAGTAGAGCTGATCAGTTGCAAAAATGAAAGTCTGCTTCTGTGATCTGCACGTCACCTTCATTGGGTTGTTGTTTATCCTCAGTCAGCCAATCAAAAGTGACGTAAGACTCTTCATCTGAAATACCTTTTTGTTGAGAACTTGGGGGAAGACCACCTTAAATTAGCGTTTCTTTCTTGCAAGTAGTGCTACTGCATAAACGTAATGGTCATAACTCCCTAGTAATGCTGCAGCCAAGCATAGAAAATACTTAAATTATACTAAACATCATATTAAAGCAGTCAGTTGAAAGAAATCAATTCTGCAAGTTACAGTTCTTAGATCATTTAAAAGACTAATGTACATCAAAGTGCTTCACAATAAAACCGCAGTGCAGGCAGGGCAAAGTACAAATAGTACAATTATACTTAAAATTGCATTAACATGGTGTAGTGCAGGCAAACTAATTTGAAAGTCAAACTAATTTGTTTCAAAAGCTAAGTACAAACAAGTGTGTTTTTAAACGGGATTTGAACAATTGAATCGATTCCGAAGTACGGATTTCGACTAGGAGGTTATTCCAGAGTCTAGGGGCAGCGATGGCAAATGCACGGTCACCTCCGTTTTTTAAACGAGACCTTGGTCGCATTAGGAGAAGTTGGCTGGAGGATCTTAGTGCTCTCTTTGCGTTGTACGGATCAAGGAGATCAGTTAAGTAGCTAGGGCCCAGGTTATTTAGAATTTTAAAAGTGAGCAGAAGGATTTTGAAATCAATGCAATATTTGACGGGAAGCCAGTGTAGGTTAGCGAGGACAGGGGTGATGTGCTCATGCCTTCTAGTGCCAGTTAAGAGGCGTGGTGCTGCATTTTGGACTAATTGCAGGCACTGAAGGAGGGAGAGTTGCAATAGTCCAAACTAAAAGTGATGAAAGCATGGATAAGTTTTTCGAGTTCTTTATATGATAAATAGGGCTTAGCTTTGGAAATTTGGCGTAATTGATAAAAGCTGGTTTTTAACACAGTGGATACTTGCTTGTTTAATTTAAAAGAACTATCGATGAGCACTTCGAGGTTTCTGGCAGAATGAGAAAAGTGGCTGGCAAAAGACCCCATTGTATCAGTTAGCTGGCCCAGGGGAACGTGGCTATCAAAAGCACTCATTTTTGTTTTTCTTTCATTTAAGAGAATTCTGGGATAGCCAGTCTTTAACCTCCCGCAGACATTCGAACAAAGGCGAGAGCGGGGACGAGGCATCCAAATTTAGAGGAAAGTAAATTTGGATATCATCTGCATAGTAGTGATAGGAGATGTTATGTTTTTTTAAAGATGAGTCCCAAGGGCAGCATGTACAAGGAGAACAGCGTGGGACTTAATACGGACCCCTGAGGCACACCACAATTAACAGGGGAAGAAGAGGAAGAGTATTTCCCCATGGTGACAGAGAAGTATCTGTCTGATAGATACGATTTAAACCATGAAAGAACATTACCTTTAAGGCCAACTACATGTTCTAGCCTTGTTAGGAGAATATTATGGTCTAGCGTATTGAAAGCAGAAGTTAGATCTAATAAGACTAGAGTCACAGGGCGGCAGTTAGGAGGAGATCATTAAAACCTCTCAATAAGGCTGTCTCGGTACTATGACAGGGTTTGAATCCAGATTGAAATTTGTCACTGACACCACGTCTCTAAGAAGGACTATTTGTTTTTACATTTTAGACATGAAAGGAAGTTTAGAGGACTGTTGGGGTCAGCGTTGCTTTTCTTGATTACAGGTTGTACGGCTGTGTGTTTGAAGGCAGTCGGAACCAGTGGCGTGTCTAGAAAATTTTTGTTGGGGGGCCAGGTAGGGGCACAGATTTGGAGAAGGGTGGCAGATGTAATGTAATGTTAAAAAAAAATTCTACCAAGCGTTAACCATAATTCAATAACCCTATAAACCTAATAACCGAATGCGCTTTTAACTCTTATTAGAATGAGATTTTAAACACTACAAGTGCCTGGGATAATATACAAATATTACATTTCATTAAATTAAAAAAAAACTGTTATTTA